CAGTTAGTTCATTATGTCTAGACCGTGTACAAATATTCATATTTTACAAGACAACTATGATGCGATTTTTCTGTTCAACTCATCGAACTACATTATCTACAATGTAAAATAAAGGAATTATGTCCACATAATAAATAAAATACGAACATCAACTTGACTAAAAACACACATTACATTCAAAATGAAATTGGGAGCTAGTAATCATTTTCTACAGTATACTCCAACACTCATAACCTAGCTAGCTACATTTTACACCACATGTTATACGATAAAGTTTTTTCGTGCTTTTTGTTTTCATGCATGAGTCACTATGCACTTTTAAAGCTCATGCATGAGTCCTGGACTTAATATAATACCCTAATCATTGGAAGAGACTTCAATTCCCAAGAAGCGAGTCAGTTTACCTAGATCCTTGATGAAGAAAAATCTTCTCAATTCATCGATATTGTGTTGTGTTGGGTTCTGTGAAGAACGTCAGTTCATGTGTGCATCGAGAAAATTATCAATTTAATCCTATTGTAGTGGAATATATTGATAGGATCTGAGGACTTAACGTTTTTAAATTTTTGCCCACTCTAAAATGTTTTTTATTTTCATGATCAAGATCGTCTGAACCTTATCTAGTCGTCCGAAGTCCAAGACATGTCTCGCATCACCTTGGGTGTTTGTCCCATTTTTCTTGCATTTTTCGTATGTGTAATGTCTTTTTTTCCCCCTCATTTTAGGTCTTTTTTTTAAAGTTCATTTTATGTTTTGTTGCGTGATTTCTTTATTTGGCTTTTTTTTTTGTGTTTTTGTTTGTGTTTCTTTGTTTTCTCCGTTTTTCTTTTCGTTTTTGGTGTGTAAGTCGGGAGCTTTGGGTGGATATGATGTGAAGAAGAAGTTGTCTATACAAGAATAACTAACTAGAATGGTCGTTGTCAATGCGTAGGAAAAAACGACACTCAATTCCGAGTTCGGACGAGCTCAAACAAGCCAAAACCGTAAAGTCGCGCATAGCAGCCTGCTTCAAGTGCCGCGAGTAGATAGAGAGCTGCCCAGGGAGACCCACCGCGGCGCAGCACCCCTCGCGCCGCGGCACCCTGCGCGACCAGACTATATAAAAACTCGTTGTTTCATATTCTTTCGAACATTTTCGATGTGGACTCGTTCCCAACCCTAGGAAAACGTCCCCAAACTCTATTTTATACATATTTCAACCCTAGAACATAATCTTTGCTCTTGGTTTTCAACTTGGATTTCACCATTATTTCTAGATTAAACTTGTATCTCGGATTCGACTTTCAATCCCATTTTTATCGTAACTTATTCTCTTCATTTAATATATGAATATGAATGTTTGGTTTGTGGTGATTGATTTTGTTGAATTTAATATGCCTCGGTAAATCCAATTGCTAAGAACATGGGATAACATATTCTTGTTCGTTCGTATTTGTCTGGCCTTGATTTGTTCATTGTCGTGCGAGTTGATTTGAGAAGGATTATTAATTTCATGCTTGAAAGTGGAATGTTATTGAAGAGTGACACTTCAATCTTGCAATTGGTGACAATTGAATATTGATCTTTCGAGTTATGGTTTGTGATTCTAAATGATTAGTCAATTAACCATCTTCTAAATTAATTGAGCAACTTTTAGAACCAAAAGGGAAGAAGTTGTAGACCTAGGCTCGCATGAGATAGATGGTTTTGTAAATGAATAGTCTATAGTTTCTTGGATTGAAATGCATGCTCGTCTACGCCCTTTCCCTTGTTACGAGAGTTATTGGGATCGAACCTTAGGTTTGGGTGTATGCTTGATGTTTCTCATTTATGTTCAATCCTTTGTTACGAAAAGTTACTGGGAGTAAACCGGTAGGTGTTTAAGTGAGAGTGTCAATCTTGAACTGAACAATTATTTGCCCAGTTTTGCGTTCAGAACGAGAATAAATTATCCCCGACTCCCTAGTTTCATTATCCTTGTTTTATTCGTGTACCTGAGTTGATTTCTGATTTTGATTTTCTGATATTTCTTCGTTGATAGTTCAAACCAAATCTTCTTGATTAGAGTGTTTAGGTCTTATTTTCTTTTCATGTGTGATCAACACTGAATCTGGATACCACATCGCCTTCCTCAATAGATTGACTCGAGGTCGAGAGTCATCCCATACTTGGTAAAAATAACACAATTTGCAACAACACTGGGCTTTGTGTTGCTTCAGCGAAGAACGTCGGTTCATGTGTTCATCGAATAACTTAACGAATTTAATCCTATCGCAGCGGAATTTATTGATAGGATACGAGGACTTGCGTTTCAAATTTTGTAGACTCTGAGACGTTGTAAATTTTTAGGATGTAATTACTAACAAATACAATATATTCGATACTCTAAGGAGCTATATCTATATATATATATATGGTGTTCAAATTTAAGTATTTTTGGACAGGTGTTACTTACAAAATTGTTTAAAAAAAATTAGGTTACTTCACACATTTTCAAGGACAATAAATAAATTTTAGATACATTTTACACATTTATATAATATTTGAGGTGTTTTTAATATCTATATTCTAGGATAATATAGAACATTTTAGATACTTTGTACATATTTATATAATATTTTTGGTGTTTATAATATCTATACATATATAAGTGCAAAGAAAAAAGATTTTTCACATTTAGAAAAAAATTGACCACCAAAAACATTAAATATTGTAAATGTTAATAGAAAAAACACACATTAAATACAATTTTTAATTTTCATCTTAATCTCATTAAATATAAAATCTCATTTTATTTGTTATATTATATTTGCTATGCATTAATCTCGATTTGTATTTATAAAATTGATAAATCCATAAGCGTTAATTTAAATTTATAATATTTTAGATACTTTTGAAAATATTGTTTTGACAATTTTTTTAATACATTCTATTTATATAAACATATAAACACAAAATTAGGTATACACATTTTTTATAGTCTCATATGTTCTTTATATATTACAATTGGTGTTTTGGTAAATTGATATTTGATATTTATAACGGATTATAGCATAATTTAAATTTTGAGCCTTCTTGCAGGGAAACCCTATCCCAAATCTCCTCACTTTTTTCGCCTTCTCTTTGTCGTCGCGTGCTTTCCCCGGCGGGTTGCCATACCCTTTGCCGATGGATGGCCCGTAGCTGCGTAGCCACACTTCAATTTTTCCTCTTCCAGGTCTTCGCTTCTTAGACGGTGGTTTCCCGATGACCCTCGCTCCGCTCCGATTCTATATGGTTGTTGACGGCGAGGTCGACAGTTTCTCTGTTGTATTGTGTCCGATTCTCGGCCCCGACGGTGGATTCCCGACGTCCTTTGGTCAGCCCTGCTACAGTATGGAGGTCGTCGGGGTGTTTGATGGGTTCTCCTCTGTTTGGGTCTAATTGCTGAGGGGTGAGTGGTTGGGGTGTTAGGTACGGCTGGTGCTGCTCGACTCGGCTGAGCCGTGGCGGTCGGGGGCTGAGGAGGTTCACTTTTAGCTATCGAATCCCCTAATTGCCGCTGGTGTGTGGCTTTGTGATTCCAGAACGCCCAATTTTTGCTAGTGATGTTGGCCGGGTATTGGGTAGCCGGCGTGTGGGGGGCTGGTCGATACTCCTTCAGCTTGGGTCGGCGTTCTTAGAGTGGTTCGAGGTTCGGGACTATTCCTTTTCTAGGCTTTAGGCAGTGGTGGGAGTGGCGTTCTGAATTTTGGGTTAATCTGTGGATGATTAGTCTTTATTTGCTGGTGCCTTTGTGCTGGGTTAGGCTATCCTGCTGGGGAAGGGCCTTGTTAGTAGATAGCTTAGGTCCTTTTGTCTTTTTTTTGCTCTCCTCGTTCCTATTTTTGTGTTGTTTATGTTTGTGTCTTTGGTTTGGGCAATTTGGCCTCGGTGCGCCCGAGTGTCAACTTATTATCCTGTTGGGATCGGACAATCGAGTATTATTCTGGTCGGATATCGTTAGTTGTTTCTGTTTTTAGTTGTGTAGTAGGATCAGTGTAGTTGTGAGTCTTGTTATTCTAACTTTGCTAGCATGTTATTGTAGCGTTGCTAGCGTCGGAATTCTAGGCGGTCTTCTAACCTGTCCTCCCACTTTTTCAGTTGTTGGTTGTTTCCATTCAACAGGTGGCTGCTTGTATTCGTACATTTGTGCATTTTGTTTTATAATAATATCTATTATTTTGGAAACAAAAAATATATAAACACATAAGACAATTTTTTATTTTACATATTCAATCTATATATACATATACAGGCATATACATATACAAATGTTAAACATATTTATTTTTTATATGTTTTATTTACAAAATAGTTTTGAAACAATTTAGGCGACTTCACATTTTTCATACAAATGTGAAATTTAAATGTTTTTAGAAATGTTTTCTTTACGAAATAGTTTAAAAAAATAAATTAGGTGACTTCACATCTTTCAATGATAATGTAGAAAATTTTGAATACTTTTTAAAATACTAAAGTTCTTCATTTATTTTTTTTATATAACATAATTTTGTATTGTTTACCCATTATATCACATGTTAACCTATCTTTAAATTATAATTTATTTAATGTTATCTACCCGTGCATCGAACGCGCTATTCACTAGTGTACCGTAAATGTATACCGAAATAAAGAATATCAAGCATAATTTACCATGTTGCATATGAAAATTTATCTATATACAAAAAATAAAAAATAAAAAAATAAAAAAATCGATCAAGAACAATTGCATATGAAAATTTGTTATAGTGAGACGCAAATTTGCATTTGGAGGTGAGAGAAAGACACAAATATGAATCGTGTTTAATTTGCCGATTGACTGGACAAAATATTTTCATATGCTCTAATACCGAAAATTTCAAAAGCATCTGGTTATTGCCGTAAAAAATGAGTATAATAATTAAGTTGGTCTAATATAGATCTAGTGATTCATCATCCAGTAAACTGAGCTAACTAACTCGATATGGATTCACCATATCCCACCCGGCCACTCCCTTACATTACATTACACAACAAGCATTTGGATTCTCATCACTAAAAATTTGAGGGGCGTGGTGGGAACCAAACTCGCATGGGTTGTAGTGAAACTGCTCCACCACAAAACCCGACCCGCTTACAACCGGACCAACTTGGGACTTGGCGTTGTTGTTCCCTTCCGTTTTCTCTGGGCCACTCGGCACCGCCTTCTCACCAGCACCGGCACCGGAAGTAGTTTTGCTGACGCCGCCCTTTTCCTTTTCCTTTTCCTTTTCTTTTTCCTTTTGGACCTTATTAATTACCTTGTCACTATTATCTTTCTTCTCAGGTTGCGGCAAAATCTGAACCTCCCTTTTCAAGTGTTTCTTCAGGGAATTAGCCAAAGCACTCATGTCCATGGCGCCCCTCACCGTCACCAACTCTTTCACCTTGTCCATCTTCATATCCTCATATCCTGCAACAATATTACGTCATTTCCTACTAATTTTTTTCTTCATTTTTTTTCCCTATAAATGAGAAGAAAAATCTCACTCACCCTTGGTCTTGGTAACGAGTTTATAGATTTTTCTGGTACAACCGTGGCAGTGCAGATGAACCTTCAGCACGGCTGTCGTCACCGGAAGCTGCAGAAATAAATAAATAAATAACTTAATAAAAAATGGGAGAAGTTTAACAAAATAAGGAGAAAATAGATAAAACATTTTAGCACCTTCTCCTTAGTATTTTTTACATTGGAGTTTTTGCCTTTGATTTCGTTCTTCTTCCCCGGTTTACCTTCTTTGCCGCCATTTTCATCGTTCTCTTTTATTCCTTCCTTATCATTTGAAGGCGAAATAATTTCAATTCTTTTGTGTGTTTTCTTCTCAAGTTTCTCGCAAAGTCGGGCCGGGTCGACTTTCCCCACCACCGTAATCTGCTGCCCGTCGCCAATAGATGCTTTCTTGACTCCTAAATTAATAAATAAACAACTTCATAAATTGAAATAAATAAAATCAAAGAATAACTATTTAATTTTTTTCTTGTTCTTACCACTAAAAGAGCGAATGCATTTCAACACTTTAGAAACACATCCTTCACAGTGTAGATCAGCCCTTAAGATAACAGTCGTGAAATTGCTATTGTTATCGTCTTTCGATTTTTGTTGATTGATACTGTTCTTCCTCATCTTCGGTGGCAATACACATTTCTGAAGAATCGTATATAACGTATAACACCACCATGATCAAAGGGCACAAACTAGAAAAAAAAAATGTGATTTAGACAAGGATAAGTTTTATTTACCTCGGCCATCGCCAAACCAGAAAATGGAGTTCCAACAGAGTGTAATATGGAATTTAAAGTTCTGTTCAGTAAGGAGAGAAATGGAAAACTCACAATAATGTGCATCAGAGATTTCAAATTTCTAAATATTAAAACCAGACAAAAAAAATTATTAAAATTAGTATAACTATTACATTCCAAGATTAAAGTTTATTAATTTTTTATAAAAACTCAATATATATAATATTTACAATTTTATTATTAGTTTTAATGGTGCTTTAGTGGTCCATATCAGCTTTAACTATAAGAAATGATGTGGCAATGGTAGTTATAACTGCATTAGCTTTAGTCGCACCACAATAAATAAAGTCGGGTAGAGTTTTCAACTTTTTGGTTGTGCAAACTTCATATCGAGTGACCTCATTTTAAGCTTAGTGTTTTAATAAGTTAGATGATTTCGTTTATTTTGTGGCATGGTTGAGACCTTTAAATACTTGCAACATGTACTCTAGGCAGTTGTTAAATGGAAAAATATATGAAATTCAAAATCGAGTTTCTTCATTGTATAAGAGCAAGTGACGATAGTTGAAGCTTTTATTTGATCTTCAATGGTGGGCAACCAAAACATGGAGGCATGGCATTGCCGAATGCGCGACCAAGAAGTAGCTAAAAAGATTGAAAGGATAATGCTCTTTTCTTAAATTCATCGGATCACCCAGGTATGCAGCTCGCTTCAAATCCACAGAATGATTCCAATTTCTTAGCTTGGAAATGATTGATGATGATGCTCTTGTGCCAAAACAAAATTAGGATTTATTCCTGAATTGAATGATGTGAACTATGGTAACTAAAAGAAACTTGATTGGTTGGTGATTTCATTGATTTTGAACTCATTATCGAAGAATATAGTTGTTATATCTTGAATCTGTAAAAGATCTATGAGAAGAGATTTGTCAACGGTTTGGGGAAAGCAATGGACCATTGATATATAAATCGCAAAGAGACGTCTCGAATCTCAAATAGAGAAATTAGTCCTTTATGGTGTATTTTAATAGGCTGAAGATAATGTGGGACAAATTGAGAAGTTTGGTGCCACAGTTGATGTGAAATTGTGATGTTGGAAAGGCTATAATGGAACAGAAATATGAAATAAAAACCGATGCTATACTTGAGCTTAAATTATAGATATGATCATGTCAAAAATCAGTTGTTGTTGATGGATCCTTTGGCAATAGTTACTGAAGCATGTTTCCAGGATTTTAGCAGCAGAAAGACAGAGGTCTGTACATTCAACAATTGATTATGTTAATTATAATGTGGCAATGGTGGTGAAATATGGTGGATTGGGATAGAATTATAATGCAAGGCCAAAATTTTTCAGTCAAAGAGCAGGAAGAGAGGGACAAAGGTTATCAAAAGAAGGAAAATATAAGTTGTTATGTGAAAATTGTTGAAGAAATGGACATAAGAAGTCCACATGTTTCAAATTACATGGCTATCCGGACTGATATAAACAAATTGAGGATAATAAAGGCAAAGGGACTGTGAATATCATACAGTTGAATAGAAGTTCAAGCCACAAACTAATAGAAATAACTCAGTGGCAGACATTTCAAGAGGTAACTAAATTACTTGGAAAATTTTCGCATGAAACATAAGGGGTAACTTACAATGAATAAGTGAAGTATGTAAATTTTGTAGGCAATGAAGAGAGAGAAGATGAACATTATTCTTTGTCTATATTTGATGATATCAGTGGGGAGGCTTGGGTAATAAACACTGGAGCTAGCAAGCGTATGTGCATAAATTGGGCCATTGATGAAGGTTGTGATTGATTTAAGATCACCAATTACAGTGTACATGTCTTATGGAACCACCAAAATAGTTACAAAGGTTGGATAATTAAGGATCTCAACTGATCTTGTACTTTATGAAGTGCTCTTTGTTCCATCCATTAAGTACAACTTATTATTAGTTACACAAGTGTACTTGACATCAAAGCTGAAGTGTATCTTCACATCTAAGGGTTGCTACTTGCAACATGAACCAACAGGGAAGATGGTGGGAACTGGTGACTTAAAGGCCAAATTGTATTTACTGAATCATCAACATTAGACACATGCCTTGAGTTTGAATTGTAAGGTGTCATTACAAAATTGGCACAAAAACCTTAGGCATGCCTCTTTTGGAGTCATAAAATGAATACCCTTTCTTAAAGACTACTGTACATATAAGGAAGAAATAGATATAAAATGTTCTGAGACATGTTTCAACGTGAAACAACAAAAATTGTCCTTTCCTAATAGTAGCATTCAAACAACAAAATGTTTTAACCTACTACATGTTGACATTTGAGGACCCTGTAGTGAGGAGTACATAACTAAAACTCCTAATTTCCTAACCATGGTGGATAATTTCAGTATAGGGGTATGGATATTCCTCATGAGCACCAAAGGAGAGACAACTACTCTGTTTAAGAATTTTGTAATCATGATAAAGACTCAGTTTGGTAAGCACGTGAAGAAAGTAAGGAGTGACAATGATCAAGATTTAGTGGAAAATGATTATCAGAGGATGTCTCAGGAATATGGGATCATACATCAAAGGACATGTTCCTACACACCACCAGAAAATGGTGTGGTAAAAAGAAAGCACGCGAAAATTCTTGAAATTGCAAGGGGATTGATCTTGCAGTCAGGTATGAGTCTTAAATATTGACCATGTGTAGTGCTTACAACAACACATATTATTTATAGACTTTCTAGTGTGGTATTAAGTTGGGAGACTCAGCCATTTGAAAGAGTTTATGATGAGTCACAAGACTTTTGTGAGCATAACCCTTTTGAATGCTTGGTTTATGCAGTCAATACTAGTCCAACTAAGAGAAAACTGGAACCAATGTCTCATAAATGTGCATTCATTGGCTATGCTAGAGGTTGTAAAGGATATGTTTTTCTTGGTATAGAGGAAGAAAGAAATCTATATCAAGATATGTGGTCTTCATAACATACGTTTTTCATTTCAAAGAAGAAGAACTTGAGAAAAGCAAGGGGATACCTTTGCCAATGACATATAACTTACCAAAGACATATGGTGATGAAGAATATTATAACCAAAATGAAGATATTGGTCAGATCACATCAACACAATATGGGAAAGTTAAAAGAAACCATCCTCTATGAAGGATTTTTTATGTTACTCAGATGAATTCAAACAGTCAGAACATGATGTGGTGTTTCTAGCCAATATGGCAGCAAACTAATAGCTAACTCACTATCTGGGGAGAATATATGCATTGAAGGAACATTTTTACACATTGTTTAATATTATATACCTTGGAGTTGCAAAGTAATTTCTAGGAGTAGAAATTTCTAGGGATGCTGGTAGAGTGCATTTGTGTTAGAAAAAGTACATTCATGTTCTATTAAAGGACATTGGGTTAAAAGTCTACAAAGAGGTTCCTCTAGCACAGAGACATAGGTTAACTGGATTAGATGGCCATCCTATGGATGAGCTTGAGAAGTCTACAAAATTAATTAGGAGACTTCTATACTTGAATATGACACGACCAAATGTCAGTTATGCAGTCCAACACTTAAGTCGATTTGTTAATAACCCCTTTTTGTATTCGTGTATTGGATTGCCAAGAAACCTAATATGGTGTATTAAATTGCCAAGGTCTAAAGGATGATTTGACTTATGTTGAGTCGGACTTCTGTTCCTGTGGTCGTTAAAAAAAAAAACTGCCACATCAACTTTTCATCAACGAAGGTTAAATCCGTGTATAGGGTTGCCAAGAAACCTAAGGTGATGTATAAATTTGCAAAGGTTTAAAGCTGGTGATTAAATAGTCAATCGACTACCAATTGGCATACTTTAAACAATATTTATATTCTAGATTCAATAAACTGAATCGAACAAAGAAATATCTTTTTTTTTCCGAAACGACAGAAACAACTATATTAAACTAAAAAAGGCAAACATAGTTCGAATTACAACACAACAATCCGAAAACTAAAAAATGAGAGACACACCATGAGCAGTCTAGAGCCTCGACACAAAGGAAAAAAGCTAACAACAAGGCCAAACCAACAACAACTAGCAACACCAAGACAAAAGCACCTGCCACTGCTCAAAAAACCTAGCAAGGGAAAACTAAAAAAGAAGACAACAAAAACAAACTAACAGAAAAATAAGAGAACTAAACTGCAGAGGAGAAATCAGCTGAAGAGAACTCCATCCAATCATTGAGGGCCAGTTTGACTAAGATGGGCTCTGGTATGAGAGTTTTTTGGAAAAGCCACAAGTTTCTGGACTTCCAAAGCCACCAAAGAATGTATGTGGTGATTTGGATTCTAGCTTCGGCAACTTTAGATTTATCCAGTGAGCAAATGTGATACCACCATGTCTTGAAAGAGTCAGTGCAGCATAATAAGCCATCCTATTGCAGAGGACTAAGCTTCCAGCAATTGATGGATCTGCTACAAGTGAATAACAGATGCTCCAAGGATTCAACAGCTTCACCACAGATAGAACAAGTAGTGTCCAAATCAATGCCTCTCTTGTTTAGTTTAGTAGCTACAGGAAGGGAGCCAGAGATGCATTTCCAGATAAAATGCTTGACCTTGCCTGCAATTTTCAATTTCCAATGTCTGAATGAGATGGAATTCTTGGTAACAGCAGAAGAGTTGCATTCTGGGATATCCAAACTTTGGATCTTGAGAGAAATAAGGTGTGAGTAAGTCTGGGAAACAGAAAAGCAACCCTTTGTATTCAAGCCCCAATACAATCTGTCATCTCTGCTACGGGATAGAGATGATATATTCAGGATTGCATTGCTATCAACTTCATCGAAACTTGCCTCACCAACCACTCATTCTAGTGAGTGCCTTCATTATTCAGTAA